AAAGTCAAACAAAGCCCACTTGTAGAGGGCTTTGGCCATCTACTGCACTGGCGACAATTGGGCATTCTTGGCGTGGTTGGGAGCTAGATCCCAGAAGCTGTTGTGTACCATCCTTTCCATTCTGCATTTGAGAAGATAGCCCTTCAGAGTGTTCCCTCCATGTCTCTGGCTTGGCTGTGTGCCCCTTTGAAGTCCTGTAGCAGTTGTTGTCTATAAATAAGTCATGCCCAGTGCCACCAAAGTTCTGAGATGAAGGGCACTTACAAGAACACAGAGAATATAGGACAATGTTAGGGATACATCCTGGTTTCATTCTTTTCCCCCTACCTCTCCTCAATCCTTCCACTTCCAACTTTGTGTAGAAAATACATGAAGGCCCCAGAGAAAATAATCAAAGCTGTGTCACACTCAACAGACTCTTTCTTGCTTCCCTTTAACAAGAAGGAAGAAGAAAGAAAGAAGCATTTGGATAAGAGCCCAGGAGCCCACATCAATTCAGACTTTCCTGGACATCCCTCCCACGCCCCTGGTGGTAACACTAGTGATAACTACATTTACTGGGGCTTATTCTTGACTCTATCTACTGTGTTCGGTTATCTCATCTCATCCTCATGACTGCCCCCTGGAGATGAAGTACTCATATAAGAATTTCCATTTCATAGATGGGGAACTAGGGCTGTAGAGAAGTTATGTAGTACTTTCCCTAATTTTTTTTACTTCTTGATGCACATAGAAAATAATATTAGAACTTTACCCTGAGATAAACTGATAGAGCTGCTCAAGGTGGAAGTGATGGGCCTTAGTCTCCAGCTGTTTTAGGTACCACTTACCTGTGTCCCGAAGAGGGCACACCCACACTTGTCCAAGATTGTAAGGCTAGCAAGTCATAGATTTTAATCTATGTTTGCTGATTCTTGATTCCAGATTCCTTAAAAAAATTATATATATTACCTTCTGAGGGACTGTCTGAAAGCCAGGATATTGAGACTAAGAACTCTGCTTTCAATTCTGGGTTTGAAACATGTTACCATGGCATGGACTCTACTTTCTCTGAAGTTTCACTTGTTTTAACTTAAAATAATCTACTGAGTGTCTTTCCTGATTAAGGCTTATTTGCTTGTTTGCTTTTTAAATATTAACAGTTTGGAGATTATTCTATAGTGATCAGAATCTTGCCTATTTTGAATCTACCCAGGCTCTCTTTCCACTCGACAGTGAAATCAAGTTGTTCAAATTATTTGGGGATCCAAATTGGTGTATCAATATCTAACCTAGAAAGATATGGAGAAATCCTTCATTTCTCAAGGTGATGCTACTGGTGTCAGGCAATTAATTACAGAATACAGAGCCAAGCAAACTATTTTCCCTAAGGTCGTGACCTGTATATCCACAGTGCCTTATTAAACCAGGAAATTGACATTGATATCATACTGTTAACCCAACTGCATACCTTACTAACATTTCATCGGGACTAGATTTGTTTTAGCCAATAGAAGTAAGCTGCAAGTTATGAGATTTGCCTGAGATATGAAAAAAAAAAAGGTTGGATGAGCATGGTTGAAGCCAGTGATCAGAGAAATATAAATCCATTTAACCTACATCAGTAATGACACATACAGAGTTCAATACTGCATCAGTAATCATTGCTTAAGCACAATTGGGTTAAGTGCTACAATGGAGAAATAAAGATTTAACACTTGTATATAATGGGGGAACCACATCTGGTCTAAGAGGGAAGCTTTCAATAGGATAGTCACTTAGAGATCTCAAGATGGACAGGAACTAACAATTCGGTACAGGAGTGCAAGGTGGTTCTTAGTTGAGAGCTTAGATTCTAAGCCTTAGAAGATCACACAAGGGTTTGTCCCTGGGGCCTCCTGTTTCTAAGCTTTCAGGACTGAGTCCAGTTACTCTTGCTGTATAACAAACCATCCTCACATTAGTGGCAAGAGATCCTAGGTATTTTATTATGGGGAAGATTGGTCTTTAAAACATGATGTTTGAGGTCTCAATGGGAAGATAAAAAGGCAGGTGGTGGTGACTGAATGCCTGTGGAGCTGGAATGCTGTGAAGGCCCATTCACTCATGGCTCTAATGTCTGGACTGGAGAAGCAAATTCCAGGACTACCATCAGGAGTACTTACCGGAGGCTTCCTCACAGCATGGTGGCCCCAAGGTAGTCAGGGCTCTCACAGGGTGGGTCACAGCACCAAGCATATGTTCCAGCACACACGGTGAAACTGCATTATGTTTCCTGACTTAACCTTAGCTATCAGGCAGCATCATTTCTGACACCTGTTAATGTTAAGTGAGTCACAAACCCAGCTTCAGAGGTAGGGAGACACAGACCCTCCTTTCAATGAGATAATTGACAGAAAAGTTGTGACCGTTTCTAGAAAACTGGCCCACTATGCATCTTCACAAATAGGCCATCTGAATGCTTTTCTTTCTACATATACATTTATAGCTTGAAGTCTTACTGAGTAATTTGACCCATTACTTGTTGTTTTCATTGTTTAGCTCTGAAGGCAATCTTATTTCTAGAGTTTTGGAGTCCCCTCATTTTCATTGCCAGTATGTTCCTCATATCAGGTATTGGACACTGCTGTTTTATCAGCGGTGCAATGTTTGCCAGAGAAGGGGCAAACGTTTCTTTCATTTTTGAAACAATTTCTTCTAAGATACAGAACTTGATAGGATCACAACATTCTGTGGCTCAAGCAAGCATTCTACCAGGCTGTGGAAATGTGGAACTTCAATGTCACTCATAATTTTAAAACTAAATGTGACATCTCAGCTGGGCTCCTGGACTCAGATAGTAACGTGGTATCAAAGTAGAAAAAAATTGATTGCTTTTATGTTGTTGCTGGTGTGATTTATTTTAAATTCTGCTGAACCCTGGGAGAAGGAGCTGTATTGTAACTCAAAAACCGACTTATGCTGTTTTGCCCACATCTCTTACAGGTGCTCCAAATTCGAAGAAAAGGATGTTTCTGTGGTCTGGAAGACATTGGACATTGCAACATCTATTTTATCTGACATGGCAGAAATCATTATTCCACGTACGTGAATTTTGTGAGCAACTGAAATCTACTGCCTTGGAGTTTTAGAAAATGTTTTAAACTTTCTGGAATGAGATAGATCTATCTAAGGTGCATTACACACATTCCCCTGTTTTCTTAGATGTAGGGTGATCAACTATTCTGGTTTACCTGGAACTTGTCCTGTTTTAACACTGAAAGTCCTATGTCCTGGGAAAGCTCTAGTCAGGGTAGACTGGGACAGTTGGTTACCTTACAGTTAAATATGAGCTTAATTTCACTGATTTCTTGACTCTGTGTGTTGGTGTGAACCCAGCTATGCTGAATGTTGCTATTCAATGATGTCTTCAGGATGATTGAGGCATAGAGCACCATATGCCCCTAGACAATATAATGAGCTCTGCTCATCCAAATGAGGAACTAGCTGTAGTTCAATGTTGCTTCCAAGCACTTGGGGTTTGTAAATTATTTTACCTGAACCACCCAGGGGCCAATAAGTGATGGTGCAGTACATGCAAACTAGCAGCAACAGGAGCTGTTACCTGTGGGCATGAAGGAGCAGAGAGAGGAAGGTTACCAGAACTTGTAGAGAGAGCAAGAGAGGGAGAGAGCAAGAGAGTGTGCTATATGGAAAGGGTCCCTTGTGAGAAGCTGAGATGAGTAGGGTTGAAACCATGGGAAAAATATCCAAATCACATTTTGCCCCTCTGCACCACCTCCTGGGCACCTGGTAGTGTCTGCTATTTGTGAAACCAACCAGAGGCCTATGGGCAAGGAAGCCCACTGGTATAGTCTACACAGGTCACCATTCCAGGGCATACAGCAGAGTGCAGAAAAGTAGAGAGTAGATCTGGAGGGTCAAATAGAAGATGTCAAGCACACTGATTTCAGAGAGTTCCTTAGATTCTGTTCTTCCTCTTCTATTCTGGCTTCCTTTGTTTAATATCCACGACCTGCAAAGCTATCTAAAGGATCTTCATTAAAGCTGCTACTCATGGGGCCACTGATAAAAAAGTCCATAGTCCTGCCCGGCCAGTGTGCCTCAATGGTTGAACATCGACCCATCAAACAAGAGATTCCCGGTCCGATTCTCGATCAGGCCACGTTCCCAGGTTTTGAGCTTGATCCCTAGTAAGGGGCAAGCAGGAGGCAGCCAATTGATGTTTGTCTCTCATAGATGTTTTCATCTCTCTATCTCTCTTCCTTCCTCTCTCTAAAAAAATCAATAAAACTCCAGAGCCCTTCCAGTAGTGTTCTCTTCCAGTGTACTTGTGCTAGTCTGAGTCATCTAAGAAGCAGATGCTAAGACAGGATTAAAAGTGCAAGGATTTAAAAAAAAAAAAGTGCAAGGATTTATTAGTGGAAGTGCCTAAAAGAGAAGCGGGGGATGAAGTTGGGAAGGTTGGGAGAGCCATCAGACTGACCCTGAACGAAGGAGAGAGGGATAGACACATCCTGGCCTGCCATGCAGTTCTGAGGAAGGTTCATAAGGTTGTCAGGGAGTCTTTAAGCTGAAGCCACGGTCAGAAGAGTCCTGTGTCTCCTCTGGATGAAACTGCCCTGGCCCTGCCATGTTCAGTCTTTGGTTGGGAGCAGCCTGTAGAAGTGTGGCCTTGGTCCACATGTGGTGATGAATTTCAGAGTGCAGCAGCTAGGCCCTTAGTCAATTATTCTTCCCATAATTGGAGACCTGTGAGGTGCATTCTCATACTACCCACCCCCAAAATCCCAGAGCTTCTGGTCCTGAGGAATGCCAGTTTGTGTTACTGGCTGGACTTTTACTTAAAATTCTTGTCTGTGGCACATGCCGTAAGTGGAGAAAAATGTAAGACATCCTTTGTTTGGTCATTAGTAAAAAAAACCTGAGGAAAAATCCTAAATAGTTTGTGTTAATCATTAAACTTGCCCTAGAGTTGGCTCTGAACTTTTACTTTGGCGCACGTTTGGCCAGGACAAACAAGTTAGGTGAGTTACAGTCCAATATGAGTGAGTTACCTGCACGGTAGCTGCGGGCTGGGCTCTAACCAGATAACAAGGCCACCGTTTCTTGGCAGAGAGGAATAAGATCATTTGGAGAAGAAAGATAATTTCTCCCTTGAGTCACAACGAGAAAGAAACTGAAAAAAGGTACTGTTTGATCAAAAATGTCTCTGTTCCCTGTTTTCTAAGTATTGCATCTCTTGCCAATGTCGTGGGGAACAAAAGGAAATGGGCATCTGTAGCAGTAACCTTGCAGCTCTGTTTTTGCAAAGTTCCCAAAGAAAGACTATAAGGGGAGGGAGGAAAAGAGGATGAAGAAAATGGAGAAGAGAGAGAAGAGAGAGAGAATATTAGACCAAATGCACACGGCTGTCCTCTGGTTGAAAATTTCCCGGTTAAAATAATTAAGTGGAGGCTGAATTTATCCTTAGGAAGAACTTGTGGATTAACCATATTAAGAAAAACTGCGTTCATTATTGATTTGCTCTATTCAAGAGGAAAAGATGCAAATCTGAACATAAGGCTTTAAGAAAACCAGTGTGTGAATATCTCCTTCCATTGTTCTAAGCTTGGGAGTAATTGCTGAAATGATATGTTAAATTTGTACAGCCAGATTGAAAATAGACTCCTATGTTGGGGATATTCTGTTGGGTGGAACAAGTAAGTTAGATCCTGTGCTTTGGGACTAAGTAGCAAATACTACTGAGTACCTTCCTCTATGCAGTAGGGGTCTTTCTTAAAATTCATTGTTTTAAAAATGAATTCCATTCCAAATAGATGTAAGCATTTAGGGACTATTGAAGTTTAAAGGAACAGCTGTTTGTTTGTTTTTTTAAAAATCAGTTTTATTTGTCTGTTTTTCCAGCTACTAGAACAGTGCCCAGGTTCTATTAGGCATATAATAAAAGTTTGTGGATTTGAATTAAATATAGATGATTTTATATAGTATTGGACTATCTTAATCAGGACATATCTATAAGTTAATTCTAAGATTTATTTTCCAAATATGTTTTCTGGGCATTTATTGTGGTTTTTATATTGTCTGAAATGGTGTAACTATTTTTCCTAGTCTTAGTGTTTTCTTAAAAATTAAATGTATCTTTAGTGACATGTATATGTATTTAATTCTGTTAATTTTTTAAACTTTCAGAAAGTTTTAGAGCCAGTTTTTTTAAAAAATATATTTTTATTGATTTCAGAGAGGAAGGGAGAGGGATAGAGAAATAGAAACATCAATGATGAGAGAGAATCATTGGTCGGCTGCCTCCTGCACGCCCCCAACTGGGGACTGAGCCCACAACCCGGGCATGTGCCCTTGACCGGAATCGAACCCGGGACCTTTCAGTTCACAGGCCAATACTCTATCCACTAAGCCAAACCAGCAAGGGCTAGAGCCAGTATTTTTCATAGTATTATATTCGTGCCCTCTGACTCGGGGGTGCCAGGGAGTCGCTTAGCAGCCTTTCCAGAGCAGGCATCAGGGTGTTATCTAAGGCATCTGGCTTTTCAGCCAGGCTTCGTGAGTTCTGCCCATCCCGTGTATGTGTAAGTTATTTCAGATTAGGTGAACCCAGGCTATTATTTAAATATGTATTCACCAGTTGGAATTGACTGAGTGCTGTGTGGGGCCTTGGCACTAAGAGGGTTGTGGAAATACAAGTCCTCGCAGAGGAATGAACGGGCTACAAGAAGAGGCATGTATGTGTGGCACTGCACCATCTGGTCCAGGCTGCACAGGCACAAGCTAGAGGTTCAGGGAGGAAAGGGCAAGGAGAGCTGGAATGGCTGGGTGTTGGGGAGGATGTGACTGCAGACTGACCACCTCGTTGGACCTGGCAATCGGAGGCTTTTCAACCTCTGCTGTCCTTGGAATGTATTGTTGGGCACTGATGCCCATCTAGAGGCTGAAACTCCAGTTAGAAAGTAGGAAGAAGAGCTGAGGTTAGAGAAGGACTTGCAGTTGTCCACACTGGGGCTAGCAGATAAGGTGTGCGAGCAGGATAATAAATTGGAGAGCTCAGCATGCTGTCTTGCAAAGCTAGGGGGACACATGCTGCCTTAAGATCTGAACTCTGTGACGAAGCCCGATTGGGACGCTAAGATGCAGAATCCCTGGGAAAGTGAGGGGAATGAAGGGGAGGATGTTGTGGTGATTGACAGTGAAATGGAAGAAATGCCTCATGCTGTCTAGTACTGAGGGAAGCAAAAGCACAGCAACAACAGCCTAAGTCAAGTGGGCAGCCCCCAACTCAGGAAATGTGCGTGATGAGAGAATATATTCCTTCTGAGCTTACTGATAGAGCCACCAAGTTCCAGTAAAAGCCCAAGGAAAGTATTCAGGTGTGATTAGTGCAGCTAAAGACTGGGGGTTGGGTGGTGGTGATGGTGGCACTTTTCTGATCTGGCAGGAGGCAAAAAGAAAAAAGAAAAAAGAAAGAAAGAAAGAAACATCACCACATACCCTGCCCTCTGGCAGAGTCTGCATGGTGGAGAAGGAGGTGGGGTTCAAGGATCCCACTTCCTTATAGATTGGATTATTCTTGCCCTACAGAGCAGGCAATGAGGGTAATCTCCATAGGCCTGTCATACCCTGGAAATCTGTAGAGGAGGCACAAATAATTCTTAGGGACACAGCCTTCAGAGAGTAAGATATTGTTGAAACCATCTGGATGGTACATGGGACTGAATGCAGTTATGGTCTCTATATAAAACTTTTAAGATTCTCCTGGGTGGGTGCAGAGATCTCTACTCATCTTGCTGCCACCAAGACAAGCCTGTATGTAAGTCCCCTTGCTTACTAAACCTGCCACCTACCAATTTGGAATGTCTGTCTGTTTCTTCCATCACTCCTTGTCTTCTGGGTTCGGGCCTCAGTTTATGAACCAACACCAGGGATGGGTTCTGTGGACGAAGCGGCTCCTAAGCTGGGCCGTGCAGGAGTTCGGGGAATCTAGGAGGCAACTAGTGGGAGCCAAGGTGGAGGCTGACATGTGGAAGGCCTGTCTGAGAGGTGGTGGGGAGAACTGCCTGGCTGCAGTGCAGGGTTCACACTGGGGAGCCACGCGAGGGTCAGTTGGAAAGGTACTGAAAGGTCCGAGAGAGGGCTTTCCAATGGAAGTACCAAGCCCGTGAAAGAAAAGCTAACTTTTGTTGGGCTGCCCCTTTGTGCCAGGCCCTGTGTTAATTTCTTTATGTATATATCACTTCAGTTCATCTTGAAACAAATCCTAAGGAGTATTCTTATCATTTTACCTGTGATGGAGGTTTTGCATTGAATTAAAAAGCTTTAAGCTGTTAAAAACCATTCAAACCTGTAAAGAATTTTTGTGAGTTTATTTGAGCCAAAAGGTCAACAATTGCCGGGAGGCAGAATCCAAAGGTATTGAGATAGTGCTCCGAAGAATGGCAGTTTTTGCCTTGTTTTATGCATTACAATCAAAGGAGGAGACTTAACTGGATTACTTGAAATCTATTGGTGATAGATTGAGGAGGTGGAAGAAAGCAAAGCGGAGCGGGAGGAAAGTGGGAAACTTCTGGGATTGGATAAAAAATATGATAGACACATACTTCTTTCCCATAGGAGGGTACAGGATAGTTAACAGTCAACAATTAAGGTGATAACAATAACAATGAAGGAATTTGTGGTCTCTGCCTGGCACATTAGGTTGTGCCCTGAGAGGTCTGGAAAAAGGGAAGTTACAAGTTACCCTGACATTTCACAAGAATACAAAAGGACAGTAGGCTCAGTAAAGATCAAAGTTTGATCTTTGTTGGAGAAGATACTGACCTAGGATATGACTACCCACTATAAACTGCTTTTTAATGGAAAGGTGTTACTGTAATTTCAGACCATCCTTTGTGGTTACTTTAGGTTTATGAGTTTGCACGGCCACCACACAGGCCTTCCCTAAGTTAGTCAGGCTAGCTAGCCCCTTCTCATCCACAAAGCAGAAGAATAGCACAATGAAGACAGTGTTTAAGGAAGGTAGGTCTGGCATACTGGGCATTGTGGGATGGGGTGCAGAGGGTCCAGCTTTTCCTTTCTCTGTTTCTTTCCTCCCTTACTCTTCTACTGTGAGGATAACACAATTTTCCCTCAATTCCCATTAGTACCATTTTTCAACCCATTACCATACTTAACATTTACTTTGCTAAGGTCTTCACTTTTTAGGGTTGAAAAATGGTACTAATTTTCTAGAGGACTGACAAACAAACAAAACCAACAAAACCCTCTCCCAAAACCACCATTAACTAGTATTTATTTACATCTAGATATAATAGATATCTAGAATTTATTTTTCAAAATTAAGCTTTTGTATAATAATGAGTTAATCAGAGATGTTATTATTTATCCAACTCAAACATGCATACAGTAAGTTGGTGGGATAAAGGGATGGGTGAAATAGTGATGTTTTTATATAAAGTTCATAGATTGTCTTTTTCACCACAGTTTCAGAAGATGGTGGGTCCCTTTGAGTATTCTGTAGTTATATTGGTATCACTTCTTTAATTTCCCAACTTTTAACATAGCACAGTAACAGTTTTTAAGCAAAAAAATATAGTAATTTTTAATTTTATTTTTTATAGAGTGCAAAAGCTATGCTGTTCCAATCAAAACTGAAAATGCTTTTCTGTGTCTGAGCAACTTTGAGAGGATTGACTAAAGTGGATGAGATGATTGCTTGGCTGATCTCTCTGAGAAGTATTGAAATGATACTTTTGGCAAGTAAGTAGGATGTGTTTTGAAGGAATTAATAGATAGAACACGACAGGTTACCTTCAGAACTAGTTTAAGGATACTTAAATATTATTGGGGGGAAGTGTTGAAGTATCTGCCCTGGGTTTAAATTTTCTCTGCTTAATAATAATTTTTTTCTGCTTAGTAGTTGAGGTTATATATTAAATAGTTATGAATATATACATCAATTTTTAATGACCAGTGTAGGTTGCTTTTATAGTCTAGAGCTTTTAATTATAACTTATAACTTTCCTTTTATAATTGCTTTTTGGGTCATATGATGTAATTCTTTTTTAGGTTTTATTGTTTTATCTTCCCAAAGGGAGTAACTTATCTTGTCTTAGTGATTAATGACTACTTGTATTAAAATCTCCTTTTTTCAAATTATGTCTCTGTGAATCTGATTATCCTCTGTGTCATTTTATGGCATTTGTTTTTGGTTTTCTTTAGGTAGAACTATCTAATGCACCTTGGAGGTGTAGGCATGGACTGGTCTTCCCGGGGCTGCGATGAATGACTGTTTAGATGCGAATGATTTCATCACCCGTGGTTGTACAGTGTACCACCTGTAAACCTGTACATGGAAGCCCTAGGCTAGCCAGTGTTAGGGAGACCTGGATTATCATTTAATGTTCTTGATATAGAAACTGAAGTGTTCTGTAGATAACACTTTTCCTGGTGACCTCACCAAGTAGCTGACTGCTTTTTATGGCTTCCTTGAATTGGCTTTACTTGGCCAAAGAATGTTCAGGAGCATTTTCAAAGACGAGGGATTAATAAGGTCATGTTCAGCCAAAGGTTTCTGTGGGAGAACCCAATCTAGCCTAGCATGTGAAGTGTATAGTGTTTTTTTATTTTATTTTAAGGAAATTCAGCAGTGATCCATGCTTCAGTCCTTTTCTGTATAGGCAAGGCAAAAATCTAGAGAATTTTCATTTGGAGAGTCATTCGGATCATGTATTCAAAACTAGGGGGAAAGCAGAGGGTGGATACTGAACAGGTGGATTCAAATTAGGACAGCATCTTGAAGTTTCTCCTCTTCTCTGGGAAGTGGAAATACAAGAAATAAGTGGTGACTTTACAATTAAATACAACTGCCTTATTAAAGAGTGAGAAAGAGAGATAAGAGCTATTATGGGTTGAATTAGGTACTAAAGGTGACCTTGAGGCTCTTTCCAGAGGAAGCAGAAATTCAGGATTGTTCTGATGAACACTGGTTGCCTAAGATGAGAGAATCAGTCAGAACTTTCCTTCAAATGGGAGTTCTGAAGGTGTGGTCCCTAGACCAACAGCACCTGGTCAGCAATGTAAAATCTTGGGCCCTATCCCGAACATACTGAATCAGAAACTCTAGGGTGGGGCCCAGCAATCTCTGCTTTGTCAAGCCCTTTTGGAGATTCTGATGAATGTTCAACTTTGCTGCATAACACCAGGGAAGCTGGTGGATTGAATCTGACCTTCAAAAGCAGTGTTTTTCTCATTTATTTATAGTGCCTTGCCTGAGTTTCCACATTGAACCTGAAGAAGGTAGCATTGCAGGGGGAACGTGGATCACAGTCATTTTTGATGGTAGGTTTGTGTCTTACCAAATACAAGTTTCTTAATTATTAATCTAAAGAATTCTAAAGAATATGAGTCTGTGGTGTTTTTCCTTGTCTAAGGACAGGTGTAAAAGAGGGCCTGAAGGGAGACAGTCCAACTGACCAGCTTCTGTGTTTCCAGATGCTCACGTGTTAATATCACAGAAGCAGAGCTCATTATAAGCTGTGTCAACTTTCTTTTATTTTTTTAATTTAATATTTTTATTGATTTCAGAGAGGAAGGGAGAGGGAGAGGGAGAAAGAGTTAGAAACATCAATGATGAGAGAGAATCATCAATCCGTTGCCTCCTGCACACAACCTGAGCATGTGCCTTGCCCGGGAATGGAACCATGATCTCCTGGTTCATAGGCTGACGCTGAACCATGGAGCCATACCAGCCCATGTCCACTTTCTTATCCCACCTGTGGGGTGGATGGGACTCTAGGGACCCTCAGTGAGGTATGGAAGCACTTGACATAGTACTTGGCAATGTGTCCCCCCAGAATCTTGGTTATCTTCCTTGTAGGTCATTCAATACATGGGAGCTTCTAACCATGGCTTATGTATCCATACCTTCCACAGTAGAGAGTAATTTTGAGGGTTGAAAGATTCTTTCCTGGTTTAGGTGGATCAACTTGAAGAGATAAAACATTTTATATAAATTTACAAATGAACACTCATTTACATAGCAGTCATAAATGCCTTGGGAATGAGGAGCATTGATTTAATCCTTAGGCGAACTCAATGTCTCACATTGCCCCCATGTGGCCATGTTTTTATATTCTCCTGTGCGGGTTATGACTCTGCTCAGCCTGAGATTCCTCTTTTCCTTATGCTTAGATTTGGAGTCCAGTCTCCTTTATCCCACCAATGGTTCTCAGCTGGAAATACACCTGGTGAATGTGGCTGTGCCTGCACTGCCCAGCATCCCCTGTGATGTCTCCCCTGTCTTCTTGGATTTGCCGGTGGTGATGTGCAAGACCAGGTATAACTCCCCGAAATAAGATCAGACAGGACAAGTGCTTTGCTTATTTCAGTCGTATTTTGGTGGCAAATTAGAGCCACTCCTGCTGTGGCTGCAATTATTTGCTATAGTCTTTTAAAATGTTCTATGTGAATATGCTTCTTAAAAGGTCCTTATCAAGGCTTAAAGGAGGGTGAGAATATGGTGGAGAATTTTGAGATATTTATAAGAAGGAGCTAGATTGGGTTTCCAGCTATTTAAATTTTTTTTTTTGCAAGAAGCTCTATAGTTATTACTAGTAGCATTTCAATAAGTGGTTCCATTTTGCTGTCTAAAGAATCCGTCTTTTGAAATAGGCATAATTTTAATGACTGTGCATAAACCCAAAACCAGCTATAAAGGAAAGTTGCTTTAATCCTCCCAGTGTGTTTGCTGAGTTTGTATAGCATTCCAGGTAATCTATTGTTCTACTTAAGTTTGTGTTGACCTATGAAGTTTATACTAGTTCATTCTTTCTCTTCTTATGTCTTAGAGATGCTTCATAAAAGTGGGTGATTGGTAGAGAGAAAAAAACATGGTCATTTCCTTTCATCTTGTGTTCCTTCCTCCTCTTCCATCTCTCCTTATTGAAATCCTAATCAACCATACTCCAAATGCCACCTATTCCCTGATCATCTAATTGAGTGTAATCTTTCCTTCCATTGAAAAGGGGACAATTAAGGGCTGAAGTCCAGGCTGTGGTTGCAACAGCTTTGAGAAAGGAGCATCTTTTAGTAATTCATCCACAAGATGTGTGTGTGTGTAAATCTTTTTGTGAAGGGGGATATTTTTATAATTTACACAAAAGCATAGCATGTGTCGCCCTAGTGGCCCCTTTCTTCAGCCCTATGTTTCTCTGATATTGATGTCAGTTGCCCACTTGTCTAATTCATCCTTATAGAATCAAGTTCTTTGAGGACAGGGGGTGTGTTTAACCCCACTTTGGAATCCTTATGGTGCTTAGCCCAATACCTTACAAGTTGAAGATGCTCAATAGATGTCTGTTGAACTGAAATCTTATAGCACTACTATTGGTT